ATTCTCATTCGAGCTCAAAATGTTGACTCCCATTGAAATTTTTGAACTTTTGGATCTTCTTTTCCCCGCGAAATAGTGTGGGCCCAGCACTATTTTACTACCTTGTCACATACTGAGGAAATTACTGGGGTACCGGTTTGAAGCTCTCCTAACACGCCTATTTGCAACTTACGTAGATCGGTGTTCAAGATTTAAGAGGCGCTGAATTTGTAGAGCACAATAATCTCCCAAAGAGGAGCAAAACGTATGATTTTGTCTCAAGCTGACATATAATAACTATTGATTTTTAAGTATGGAGAATGAAGACTTTTTGAGGAACCTGTTAGGCTATGCTTTGTCTTACCTTCTTAAAATGAAAGAGTTTCTTCAAGAGTATAACCCGAGTAAATATATGTATGTAAAAAGTCAAAATAAACCCCTCAGAGTTTCCGCGTTTTGGGCTTTGCCCTGAGGTACTGATCATACTGGTAATGCATAGAAGAGTAAGTAAAGGGTTTTTTATTTTTGGCGCGTATACGTAGTATACCGCCTTTGCGATCGTTTCGACCCCCCCCTCGATACAATAACCGAGTCCCCTAGTTCCTTACCGAAAAGTGACTACCGCGAACTTCTGAGATTTTCCAAAGCGTGTAAAAAGTTTACTAATCCGTCAATAATAATGATTAAAATTTGTTTCTCATTCTGGGGCTCGCTAGTTTATGTGTAATGAATACCAAGAGTCTACGTTTCTTGGTTTTTTTTAAAAAAACCTTAGAATGGGGCGCGCTGATTTAAAATATGCATATATAAGCGGAAGCAAGCGAACTGATTCGAGGATGGCTGACCAGTTCGGCACTCCTTGAATGAGAATTTCACTCACTCCGTTTTGTTCACAACGTTGCTTTGACATATCTCCACAACACTGTTATCCTTTTCAAAAGTTGGTACTCCTTGCTCTGATAGCCGGGGCCACCAGGATAGTGGTAAGTGCAATCTGTGATGAGCCTCGAGACTCATTAGACCATTTGCTAAACGTGGCTCATACAGGAGTCCACTAAGCCCTCTCGTCCCCACGCTCCTGATCACTGCGTCGGCGTCACGAAGAACAATGGGCCTTGGGTCCCAACGCGGCCGATACCCGTACCCCAATTACTCACGCTTCATTAACCATTTCACCGTCACGCTAGGATTCATCCAATTTTCAAAAAAAATTGTTTCGCATGTATTTAGCAATTTTTTCCTTACTCTCCGTTAAAACACAAATAAAAAGAGACCTCATTCATAAAAATCGGCCGAATAGAAGAGAAGTTACAGTAATCGAAATCCGAAGAAATCAACAAAACCTCGACTCCTCGATACGAAAAATAAAATGAAGGGGAAAAAAAGAAAGTATAAATTACAATTAAATATAATTGACCTCAAAATTTGACAAACAATTCATTTATATACCTAACGCTGAAAAAACTGGGAGAAATTACAAAAAATTTGCCTCTTGCAAGGGGCTTCTTTGTAAGAATTTTGACCTGAAGACAACGGTCGAATAACAGCAGTACTCCATACAATACACGGTGTGCCTGAACGAGTTAAACATTTTTCATACGTCCAAATCGAAAAATCTTTATATTTTTAACTACAATGTTTCTTGAATCGTTTAAGCAAAAAAAAAAAAAAAAAAAATTCCGTCGAGATTCTGGAACGCAAAGGCGCTTTAAAAGTATTCTGGGGCTATAATAGCTAAATCACCGGTAGTAAATTCGTTATATTATTAAAAAGAAATTGACTCCATAGTTTAATTCCTTAGTTTCTTGAATACGATTATTTTAAGCACTTAAACATTTATACCACCAATTTTAGCCATGGGGTGATTTCCTGAGAGCCGATAATATCACGAATTTCTCATAGAACCCCTCAACAGTGGCTTGCTTTTTTGGCAGCCGATTCGGCCATCGAACCGGAGTTTAAATGGAAGCTGATAATAACCCAAAGCTCTGAGAAAAATTTTGAGATGAGTATAAGAACGGTTTGTTGTAAGTAGCGAGGAGAGGCGGGCAAAGCGGCTAAAATCCTATCTAATTTTTACAGTTTTTCTGTTGAATTAATGTTGCCGCGGGCTTCTGACTGTCCACACATAGTTCTGTTCAGCATATCGATACATAAGTATTTACATTTTACATACGTAGAATCTAATTTTCACGTCGGGGAGTTGACATATTTTGATTTTTTCGATTTTATACGGAAAATTGATGGTTTTTCGGGATTGAAATTATTATTGTTTCATGAAAAATAAATGCACCCAAAATGACTATAGCATATTGATTCTTACACATTTGCACTCACAAAATTGGTTGGTAAATTCAACGAGTGGGTGCATCGACCTGGTATATCAAGTTTCTGCAATTTTTTACGGCAAATCAGTAGATTTTCGGGATGTAGATTGCTTACTTTCAATTCATGAATGAATAAAGCAACGACATGGTTGAACTTCTTTGCATGGAAAGACGTTTAAAATAACAAAATCAAGACGTATTTAATGCAATTGCATTTATATCGAGTCAATTTCTTTTCAATAATATAACGGGATTTTTACTACCGGTGATTTGGGTATTTTAGCCCCAAAATACCTTTAAATCGACTTTATCTTCTAGGAGTTCGACAGAATTTTTCCTTTCTTCGCTTAAATTATTCCGTAGCACTTTTCTTCAAGAATCTGATAAGATTTTGCTTGAGGCAGATCAAAAAACTTAAATTCGATCGAATAGCTTTCTACTTTCACAATACACGGTCTCGTCAAGGTGCGTCTTTGACCTCGCAGTGTTGGATCGTGAATTCTCTTTTTATGCTGTTTGCCTATTTTGAAATCTCTGTAAATGAAAACTAAAGGGGTTGATATGTGCGAGTTAATGACGCGCCTTATCAACACATTGTGTTGGAGTTCACTGCTTGTTTTATTTATTTTTTTTTTTTTTTAATGGCAAGACCATGTAAGGTCCAATATCCAGAGCAACCTGCAACATCGTTAACTTTTAGTGGTAGATTGATCGACCTTTCTATAATGCGACTTTATAGGTCCCTTTGGAGAGAAGTTGCTAAAAGGCAAATGATTGCTTCGATGCTGGATAATGAGAGCATGTATCCGTCAATTCGTCGTTATCCAGACAAAGAAACGTATCTCCATTCCAAGGTTGCAAAATTGACCCAGGTAATTTAATTTTCTACAAGATTTTCTCAAGTGCCTACCTGGGCAGTTTCTTTTCCAAAATTTGTCTCATTTTCGCATGAGTTCTAAGGCACAATCAATGAAATTTTGAATAATTATGGAACAGCACTGAAACAATAAACAACAATCGTGGGAAGACAAGACCTTTTCTCTTCTATTCAATTTATGGAATTGAAGTGTAAATGCCCAAGATTCTCTTGGTTAAAATGCAATTTGAGAAAGAAAATTTGGCAACATTGAAATGAGTTACGTTATTTTGCGAGGGAAACGACGATCCGTATGATATGTGAAACTAAGATGGATTGGAGAAATTAGAGTACCTATATTGAGAGAGTATGGCCACTGGGCCCCATGGAGAGGCTTAGGACCCAAAAATGGCGGTGCTTTGTTTTGGTTTTTGTGGATGGGAGGGGGTCATTGCCAACTTTTGACGGTTTTTACCAACCGCACTTGCTGCCAACCTTACTACATCTAAGATAATTTTTCTCAAAAATTGCACACGATTAGCCATAAAAATATGTAAAGAAGTCGCAATAGTGCATTTGGGTAAATTCCTCGTTACGATTAGCAAAGAAAACTACATTTTGAGTCATTTTGCATTACATTAATTTATGGCGTCCGCCATTTTTGGGTCCTAAGGGCTCCATTCAGCCTAAGATGGCTGAGCCAATCAGAGGTGGTAACCCCAGTGGCCATACTCTCTCAATATAGGTACTCTAGGAGAAATGAGGGGTTTGGAAGACAAGGTGCATAAGTGCAATTTTTGCTATACCGAGAAAACGTGTTTAAAGTTTCGAAATTACATGGATCCTTACGGCGGAAAGAGAGTTTAAACTGACTTTTTGATGCATAAAAATTGGATTTTGAAAGCGAATTTTTCGCAGTATGTGCATTCGGACTAATTTTACTTGATATCATTGACGACTCGATTTTTTCAAAAATTGCACTTATGCGCCTTGTGCTTCAAGCCCCTCCAATAGTCTCTGTGTTTCCTAAGTGAATCGAGTTCTTTCTTCGTGACCAACGTCGAGGTGACACGGGTGCAGCCATGGTGCTCGTGGTTACCGTCGATGGTGTCGATCGAAGTTCAGGGAGACGAAAACGAGACGAGAAAACCACAAAAATGTGACAGAAAGTGCAAGTCTCCTTGGAGACAATGGAGAGCTCTCAACGAGGCGGTTTCAAATAAAATTACACCCATCGTAGAAAGTACTTGCAGTGATGGGCGTTGACTTTCGCAGGTTGTCAAATTTACAAATATTAAATAGTTTCAACCGTTGCCTCATCGACTCGCAGGATGGCTTCGTTAAGTTGGCAACCGTGACGATGAGAGACGAGCAACCCGCTGTTTCATTAAAACTGTCCATGCAAAACGGAACGGTATTTAGGATCTATACACAATCCAGTTCTCAATGCACAAATGGGCACATTTAAATCAGATCCATGACAGCTGCTACTTGCACTTAATCTCTACAGTTTGAGACTCTTAAAACGAGTTTAAGGTATACTCTGTTGGTGCTATATAATATTATCAAATGTGCACTGTAAATCTCTCGTGCTGTTCGTGAAGTTTAACGTTGTAATCGGTGATGCAGTGTTCGTTTTTTGAATTTTTTTATTGTGATGGGTGCTTGCAATTTTTATAGACTTACAACTCGTAATTCATGATTTTGTGCAATACTCAGTGTGGCTTGATAATCATATCAAACGGGAGAAACACCTATTAATTGTGTCTATTCGAGTTTTTCTTTTATTTCCAACAAAGAGTATTCGTTGTTTTTTAGTGTGACGTGAAATACAAAAACACATCCATACCTTTTTTGAGGTGAAAAATACGTTAAACAACACTTTTTTTCCCTGCCATGGTAAACAAAGTTTGTATGCAGCATCCAGCTCAAATATTTTTGAGGGTAAGTATATCAAGATAAAATAAGTTTTGATCTCAAATCCTCGAGAAAAGGATCAGACTTTACTCCTAAATTTGATTTTTCCGAAACATATTTGCAGAGACTGAATTTAAAAAATTATTGTCATTGAAAAAAAATGTTACAAAACACTAATCTGTTTATATCCTATAATTGGTTTTAAATTGTGAATTTATTGCATCGAATGAGTATAAGTGTGAATAATTTTATTGGTACTTCAAAATTCTTGATTCTAAAAGTTGGAGAGTAATTTTGCAACATTTTTGGGGAATTGATATATATTCTATGCAAAGGCTGCTTGCGTTTTAATAACGATTTGATTTGAAAATACTAGAAAAACTGCGACACCGTGTAGCATTGAAAAATTAATTAAAATAAAATTGGGAGCCTATGCATAGCACGCAGACTTGCATGAATCATTCTTGTCCGATCGGCCAATTTTGGAAGTATTTTATCCAATCCATAGTTCTTTCATGAAAGGCGTCGTTTACTGAGAAAATATTAATTAAAAGGTGTGCTCATAAACATTTAAACGTCAAGAGCCGGTACTGCACCGTTTTAAGAGTGCTATATTACGTCAAAATTAAAATTGCATGCAGTATGTTGCTTTAAATAAAAATTTTAAACCAAACTGTCAACAAAAAATAGATAAAACATTTTTAGATGGACGATAAATAGATGCAGCATTTGTCTCTTTACAGGATAAACTTACTACACACTGCGGAGTGCATTCTCACAATCAGTCACCATAATACTGCCTTGTTAAGGAAAAACGCTGCATGGACATTCGAGAGTTGCCAAATTTTCCTTGATATGACGTATATTTTTGACGCAATTTAAGCATATTTTTCCTTGAAATTTTCAGATATTTTAGATTAAATTGGGTACAATATTTTTTGAAAATTTTAGCAAAAGATATTTACAATTTTCGCAGTAAATTTGGCTTTTATCGAAGGAAATTCGACAACGTGTGCGGGCTCATACGGCGTTCTTCTTCAGCACGGCTGAATAGGGTTGCCGGTCGCCCTTATTAAAATAAGAATGAAATATTACCAGTGATCAACCCCCTTTTTCTTTCCTTTCCAGAAAACAGTGTCTTTAGCTCCCGAGTCATCGAAGCAAAGACTCCTCATTCAATATATTCGGTTTATTTTTGAGGAGCATTAATCAAACTAGCAATGCCACCGTGAGAAGCATATCTGCTCAATTATAAACACGAACGACTCCCAAACGAATCATTAGCCGCAGTCAGACAAGCGTTCAACCACGTTAGTTTGCGTAACTGTGTGTCGAGCGCGGCTAGTGCATCTGGAAAGAAGGGGTTATCCGTAAATTCTTCTTCGTTCGTCCTCGGAAATGTTGACCTCACGGGGCCCTTGACAAGGATTTTCCGATTGCGAAATGCGTGTGTTCGAGAGCTCATTCCAACTGCGGTTATTGCGCCCGATTACACGGCGCGTTGGCGTATCATTCATTAACCACTTTTCCCCCGGATTTACTGGCTCCGATTGCTTAAAACATCACTCATCTATCAGTTATTTTAGGCAAGATAGTCGTAACTAACATTAAAGACGTTCGCTGGAAAAAAAAAGTCGCTTGGGTTTAGAGTCCAGACTCTTAATAACATTGGCAAGAAAAAATACTCTTGACTTAATCCGGGTTTTCCTTGAATCGAAGCGCCGAGCCTCTTGATTTGGGCGGATTTCATTTTGATTCAAGCAAAAAGTCCGATTGAATCAAGAGTTTTTTTCTTGTAAATGTTTTTAAGAGTATGGACTCTAGATCCAAGCTTTTTTTCCACTGTTGAGTGCAGGAAGGGCAGTTCTTGGTTGCGGTGTTTCAGAATTTTCAATGCTAATTTATATTTTAGAGAGGAAGCTATATTGGACGAATTTTCTGAAATTTGTAGTAGTCAGAAATTTAGAATGAGAAAGATTCAGTGAAAGTTTTAATGCATTCCCATCCATTTGCTTTAATCATAGTGGATGAAACGTTAGCGGAGATCCTGAGACACCGCACCCAAGAGGTGCCCTTCAGTGACGTGGCGTGATTTACGATAAATCGATTGATCTGCCATTTAAACGTATGAAAAAGTATCAATAAACAGGGCGTTTGCAACGAACATCTTGATAATCGATTCTTTACCATAGCTTCAAATGGGGAAATATCGACAATCGATCATTCACGCCTCGCCACTGGTGCCCTTTCTGCACCCAGCGCTTCATTTTTGGTGCAACTGAGTTATTTTCATTCTACATAAGTCTAGGGAGGGCTGTTCATGGGTGAAAACACTCTGAAGTGACTCTTAAAGCCAGAGATGTAAGCTTCAAAAACTTTGAATTTTATGGGCAGCGATGGGACTGCTGGGAAAAGTCCTCGTAAATATCATAAAACGGAGGAAATGTAGGCACACCCCTCTACCTCTGCCGGAAGCAACTGCTATGTTTTTTCGAAATTCAAATGCATCGTGAAAAATACTGATTCTATACAGTCAACGCTTATCAATGAGGTAAAAGTTTGATCTGATCTTTTCTTTTGATGACACATCTGTCCAACTATTTTAACATCCTCTTCTACGTATACATAATCGGTAAAAAAATTAGAAAAAATTATATTTTCATTTTTAATCTCGCAAATCCCTGTTAAATGTAATTTTTAGCTGTGTGAAAAAATTCATCCTGTCTTTGATTTATGTATTGTGAGACGAGACAAGTGAGCAATGATGTCATTATTGATACATATTTAATTCAGTTACTATCCGCAGTTTTTTAGTTTGTAGTAATGATTATTTTTGTTTGTTTTCAGGTATCCTATGCGCTCATCCTGATTTTTCTGATGATTATATTGGCAGATTGTGCAAGAAGGTAAAGAAAATATGATATCAAAGGATGGTTTATGTATTCTACGCGCTCATGGTGTGACAGAGGGAGGGGGAGGCTTGTCTGCCAACGGATTTGCAACCTTCAGCATAACACTTAAATGCCCGAGACCGTTTTTACACCCGCAGTCCCAAGTCGGGTCAAATTGACCCGTATTTAAATACGTTGATATTGATGCTTATCGAAGTCTTACGTATTTATTTGAACTAAAGAAGTACTTCCTTTGAAATTTTTAACTTGGTAACATACTGGCGTTTTCTAAAACCCCCTCCTCATCGGCCATATATGTACATACGTATAACTCCTCCAGAAGAGAAAGTTATTGATCAGTTTGATCTGTCTCTGGATTTCTAGGTGTAGACGTCAAAGAGAAATTTCTTGACACAACAGAACTCTTGTCAAAATAACAATTTTTGGACGCCATTTAGGGCGTTTGTGAAAAATTCTAACCTGTTCATGTATTGATTTATGTTTTCAAAAGGATTATTGATTCAGACGGCACATCATAGCATATTTTAAGGAAAAATAACCTTAAATTTTCTCAAATTTTAAAAATAAGAGATAACACCTCAACGCGCGTTGATGCACCGCTTTATGCTGTCGATGAGGTGTCACTCAGATTTGGGAGAAAAGTTACAAAAAAAAGGTTACGGATTACGTCTATTCTACCCTCAGCTGTGCTGCTCGCGCAGTCCTTGAAGCACCACTACAAATAATACGAACTGTACCAACACAGTATGAAAATAGAGCAAGGGAAAGGAGGTTACAGGACTTTTGGTCCAATTTTTTTTGTCCATAAATTTTTTCGTCCAATTTATTTTGTCCACGACTTTTTGTCCTTGAAATCTGGTCCAAGTTAAATTCGTCCTGGTAAATAGTTAGTCCTACGCATTTGTTCGTCCAGTGGTATTAGGTCACATTTCTGTGGTCCAGTAAGGTAAAAAAGTTATGTCCAAAACTCACGTCCAATGAGGCCGTTTCAGCTATTTCCTTTCAGCTTTCAGCTACTTTCAGTCATCGTCTGAGTCTTCTTCGTCCGAGTCCGGTGGATCTGCGCGTGGCGTGTGCAACTTGAGGTGGTACGCACATGCTCGGAGGTACTTCTTAAGTGAGTTCGTGTCCTTGTAATGTTGGTAATTTCGGACGATGTTGGCAATTTTAAAATCACCTCTTTGATGTTTCTTCTTTCGATTTGGGGATGGTATATCAACAAATGTCACCCACACTAATAAAATTTCAAAACAAAAATATATACCGTCATTGAATTTTAAACGAAAATTTTAAAATAACCTCTTCGATGTTTTTTCTTTCGATGTTGGGATTAAATTTAAGGGTCTCCATAGCTACGAAATAAATTGATCTTAACGCCAATTGATTCACACGCCACGCGCAGATCCACCGGACTCGGACGAAGGAGACTCAGACGATGACTGAAAGTAGCTGAAAGCTGAAAGGAAGTAGCTGAAACGGCCTCATTGGACGTGAGTTTTGGACATAACTTTTTTACCTTACTGGACCACAGAAATGTGACCTAATACCACTGGACGAACAAATGCGAAGGACTAACTATTTACCAGGACGAATTTAACTTGGACCAGATTTCAAGGACAAAAAGTCGTGGACAAAATAAATTGGACGAAAAAATTTGTGGACAAAAAAAATTGGACCAAAAGTCCTATAACCGGAAAGGAAGTGTGTTGATAACGGCGCAAAGATACAACTATTCGTACTTGATGGATGTCCGTGTTGCGTCTGCAAAATTGAAGGCGCGATGGCGCGAGGCGAAAACTCGCAACGCCCCGCTCCACGCTAAGTTAGGACACTAGGCCCGAATACGTTTCTCCTATATTCGATCGTGTTGACTCTTGATTTTTTTCTATTTTTCAACTTGACGTCTGATTCTTTTTGAAGACGTATTTGTAGACCTATATCTGAAGCTCGTATGTACCGGCCCCATAATGTAACCCGCGGGTCCTGTGTATTTAGTTAGCCTCGGGTCAATTTGACTCGGCTGGGGCACCTGAGGGTTTACAATAATACGCTCAATATGGATGGATAACCGTGTTAAGACCTAATGTTGAAATCTGTCGAACTTGCACGATAATTTATACAGTAACCCTCTATGGCATGAATTAATTTTGGATCTCAGAATCTAGGGGACATTAATCTATTTTATAGGTATCATAAAAAAAAGAGCACCAAATTTTTTTTTCAAAATTTTGAAGTTAAGGGAATCAATTTTTAAAAAAAAGAAGAAAACTAATGAAATTTTGCAAAATCATAGCACAGTGGAAAGACTCTATTTTCAAAAAAGCCGAAAATACGTTGTTACGAATTCGTGACGCTTTATCATAGAGGGTTAAGGATATAATACCCTTTCGTATTCATGATGATGTTTTTAAACTACTAGTTCATTGAATCGATTGAATTTTTTTCTGGAGTGGTTTCCGGCCAAAAACCATACGAAGATGGATTTAAGCCCTCAGTTCATGAATCGATTAAACTTTTTTTTCCAGAGTGGTCGTATATTTACCCCCGAAGAAGATCAAACACTACCACCATCATCACCACCACATGGTCATGTTGGATCCCGAGAGTAAGATGGTGCTTCCGTTCGCACAACTGCAGCACCCTCTGTCGCCAGCCAAACTGCAAGCTGCCGCCCCCGAAGACGGCAACAATCACATCGTCCACCCGCACGTCTACAAGGCTGGCACCCCCACGGCGGCGGCCCAAAACCGCGACTTCCAACCACCCACACTCTCCCTCTCCCGCCTCCTCGCCCACCGCCCCCGCGATCTCCTCCAGCCCTACGTCATCCCCGATCTCCGATCCCTTGTCTCCGCCCCCACCCGCGCAAGGAGATACAACTTCGAACCCATTGCCACAGGCCCAGCTCAAGGAAAACGGAATAATATCAAAAATACGGAAGGAATTTAACGACGCACATTAGATTGAGTCAATTAGAGAGGTCGGCTATGACATTTTTGACTAAAACTACAAATTTTGATGTTTATTTCGTCACATGTTAAATTTTAAGGGGTGTTTTTAAAAGGGAATGTCACGAGGAAACCAACAGAGCCACTTTTAGAACCTCAAAATTGTGTATAAGTGGAGTTATAAGCTTTTTAAGTTTCCAAATATTGTCCGATCTCTCCCATTGACTCGATACACTGTGCGACGGACCACTGGATGAGGCCAAAGGCCTCGTATGATGCTGCACATACTGATTCGTCACAATTTTACTAGAACACGATTTTGACTATACTGAAATTTTCCAGATTCTGTTCTGAAGTAAAACTTATACCGTTTTTCCTGTTAGTAGATTCAAATCCTCCACCCTCTGTTAAAAAAAAGTCTTCTCAGGTGAAATATCCTAATCATACAGTAACCTACGAGCATTCTGAAATTATATCATGAGTTGATTTAAGAAAAAAAATCGGACATCATACTTCGAATTCCGGATTTCGCTGGTCAGGTTGTACCGACCTACGTCACAGGGTAAACAAACCTCCAGATGCAAACACCTCCTTTTTTTTCTATGTATTAAAGGTCCCTCGATGAATGATATGATTTGAGTTGTGNCCCCCCCCCCCTTTCTTTTACTCTCCCCCCCCTTTCTTTTACTCTCCCCCCCTTTTTTCAGGCGAGCATCATTAATTACACAACGAACCCTTGTACGAAATAAAAATTCTCAATCGCATTTAAATTTACATAAATCAGAACCTGATTTTCCTTTAAATTATTCGTTATTGGTATTAAGGTTTACATTTTGTTATATTAGGTAATAAAATAATATTTATGAAAAAGCGCTTGTCATCGAATGTTTGTTGATCTTTCATTAAGTTTTTATCACATTTTGTTTTATACAAGTTCCACATTTTTGATGCTGGAAAATAATTCTGTTATTTTACCTCTTTGCATTGCAAATCATTCGAATGATTTTTTCTCTTTTTGTTACGGTTTAAGAATTTGGAATAGAGTTCTAAATTTCAAGACGAAGAAAAATTTTTTAAGCACGGAAATCAGATGACTACCGTTTAAATATCTTATAAAGCTACGAAAGAAATGTCACAAGTATGTAGTCCTTGATTTTCAATGTATAAAGTTCACCTGCTGAACTATAAACTTCATAATAATGCGCGCGTTTAAAGTCATAGATAGTCATCAACTTTAAAAGTTTTACAGCTGTAAATTTTGTGGACTGAAGTTTTTTGTATTTAAATTGGATTCAACCATAACTACGAGGTGGAGAATATAAAAACGTGCACAAGTAATATCTCTGTTACTTTCTGCGGTAATATTGAAGCGTCTCAAACGCCGGAAAAGACGGAAAAATTGCAATTTCCACCTCCGACCGTTTTACAGCCATCATCTGTTCTAACGTGCTTAGGAAGAACGCCGTATGAACATTCGAGAGTTGCCACATTTCCTTCGATAAAAATTTGTATTTTTGAAGAAAGTTATGAATATTTTCCCCTAAAATTATCAGGAACTTTCGGTGAAATTGCGAGAAAAATTAACTGAAAAATTGAAACAAAAATATTCACAAGTTTTCCAGAACATTCGTGTTTTATCAAAGGAAATTTGGCAACGGCTGAAGGTCAATACGGCGTTTTTCCTCAGCACGACAGTGTTCAAAACGGGTCCCTTGTCGCGTGCCCCCACCCACCCCCACTCAACGGCGCCCGGGGCGATGCAATGCGCAGACATTCCCCAACTGGAGGTAGGCATAGCAGAAAGATTCGTGCAGAACCACAGGAGGTCTTTTTATTATACACGTCTCGTTCCACAGAGATATCTTGTCTTGGGCAATTGAGTTTGATTGATGTAAAACTAAAATTGCTTGTTTATGAGCGACGACGCCGACGAAACAGCAAAGTTATAATTTTCCAGGCGGGATCGGGGTAGGGGGCTGCTGGAGGAAAGTGGAATCGATCCTTCACCGTCGTTACCAATTTTCCCCGTCGCGCACCGGGAAACGCGTGGAAATCCACGGTTTTTCCCGGCGGCACAGCAACCCAGCCAAATTATCAGCTCCAGATAGAGATACTTGAACTAAAAACTATCCGCGGCTTCAATTTGGAATGGAATAACTTCCGCAGTCCCGCAATATTTTTCCGACGACGGAGTGAAAAAGATATCAAGCCCTCAGTCATTTGGCCATTGAGGCAGGAGGTGCTGTTTCGTTTGTGTTCGTCGGAGGACATGATGCTTTTATTTTCCCGTCGAGTCCAGTTTAAGTAGCGGGCCTAGTTCCAATTGTCCCGGCAATGTGTGTTTAAGAGCAATTAAAATGACATGACGAGACTGTTCATCTTACAGGTACACATTTCTAATGACAGATTTTATTAATATTTTTAGTAATTTCTTTAATGTTTTGACCATGTGGGTCGAATTTCGCAAAAAGGAACCAGCGCGGTTATACAGTGTTTTCAAAATCGTGCAACTTCTTCTTTACTTTTAAAAATACCTAATGTATGCACAGTATTAAAATTTACACAGTTACTTTCCTTCAGAGTACACAATTTCTTGGTAAGGAGCAAAAACCATTTGCTATTCTGGGAGATTTTTTAAGAAATTACAAAGAAGCAACATTTTTACAACACTGCATTCGCGCTGGCTCCTTTTTGCTAAATGAGATCCATGTATCCCTCGTGGGCTAATGGTCTTTTTTGTAAGAAGTGTTTTTTATAGAATAATAATAATAACAATCATGGTACAGTGTAGTGTGTGTAGTAGTATTTCAAGTGATTATTGAAAGAGAGTCCCGTTGGAAAAATAGCTACCATGGTTGTTTATACTAAAACAAGGAGAATACATTTTCATTGAAGGTACTATGTAATTATCGCTTATGAAGTCTCTATGCAGATATATTAGTCCCGCTTTAATTTATCAACAGTGAGGCCAGAGAGGCCCCTAAAAATAATGTTATTGGAAATAATTTATTGATAATTATAAGATTTGTCATCCCTTTAAAACAAAGTTTCGATTCCAGCATTATGCTTTTGCTGTTGTGCATGCTTTCATTCCGTGAGGGCTCACGAAGGGTTCATAGTTTTCAAAGGGTGGAGCATCAATTTGCAGAGCCGATTCATACAATGTGGTTATTTTCTCTACAAAATGTTAAATTTGAAGAAAAACCAAATCTAAATATGTTGAAATTAAAAAGTAGGGAGAAAAATAGATTTCACATGTAATGCAAATGAATGAAAGGTACTTATTAAAACTCGTTTTTAGAAAAGTGAGAGTGAGAGTAAACTACATAATGTAAGCAACAGCGTAAAAAATAATGAGGTTTTTTTAATATGTAAGATCAGTCGTGATGAATTTCGCAAGGGGCTGCTCCATAAAGTTTGTCATCAGATATACGCTGCCCTAATGATTCTTAGAGACGCTTCATTCCACGTTAGGCATGTGCATCCTGCTTTATGAGGATGTAGTCAATTTTTTGGTAAACATGTGTCCATATGTATAAAGGTTTATTTTCTAAACTTTGACATTTTACGCCCAAAAATTTAGTTTGAGTTAACTCCATATCCCCTCTCCCCCAGCAATAAGCCTGGCAAGGTTTTTTTGGGAAGAAGATAGTCCATGCGTAGCGATTATTTCGACTTCCACCATAATTAATTGCAAACCTGTACTCGCAAGTCTCTATTTTAAACGAAGTATGCGTTCGACAGTAGTATGTGTTCCTCCTTTATGCGTCAAAGATGCTCTTGTTTAAGCTTTTCCCATACAACTTTTCACAAAGAATGATCAGATTTATTTTGTTTTTTTTATTGGAGGGGAAGCTGTGCAGAGTTTTGAATAGAATGCAGATGCTAAGTTTTGAATTATTAGATGTGAAAAGTTGCGTACCGTGGTCAGAATTTCAGTTTGTGTAACATTTAGTCAACTTCCTCTCAATATTACGATGCCGAGCATACGAATCCACTCAAGCTCGCCGATAAATTTTGAAAATTTACCATATCCAAATCCGGAAAATAAATTACGCGAGTAAATCATCTCTTTGGTCTGATTTACGCAAAGAGGGCTTTATTGATAGACAGAATAAAGTATCTTGGCAATCCTGTGCTCCTGTTTGTGTTCAATGAAGTGAGTAAGCTCGCAGTCAGCTGGATCACCGTCCTAAAAATACGCGGTTTGCTTCCTCCTCTTCAAGAACCCATTTGCCATTTTAACTACCCCTCGCATTGTTTATTAATGAAAGGGGCCATCCATAAATTACGTAAGGCACTTTTCCCATTTTCATACCCCCTCCCCCTCGTAAGGCACCGTATGGCAACCCTTCCCCCCAGCTCCTCCTCTAAAAATTATGTAAGGCTTGACAGGTCCCCCCTCCCCCTTTTTTCCATTATCGTAGATCCAAGCATTACGTTTTCGTTTAGAGAAAAAATGAAATTTTTAGGCCAACATTTTTATTAGTGAAACTAAATTTTTGACATAAGTTCATAGGAAATATTCAAGATACAATTAGTTTAATGGACTAAAATGCGTGGAGCAGATTGGAAGATTTTTTGTTCTGTGTTTGGAATAGTTAAAAGTATGAAGTTGACAATAGTAAGCATGGAGTAACTACTCATCATTCCACGCAGCGGAGAATTGGGAATCGAGAAATGACAGGAGCCTGGTCCGATCGGTCAGCAATCGGTGATGTACTGATTTCCTCTGAATTTTATTATAAACCGGACGAAAAATGAATTTTTTCATTTGCTTTAAATAAAGGCCCGAAAGCTTACTTAAGGCTCAACCTTACATCCCCCCTCCTCGTAAGGCACCTTAAGGCTGTTAGAGACCACCCCTCCCCCTCTAAGTGCCCTGCGTAATTTATGGATGGCCCCAAATGAGATGCGTACCAATTTTTGCGGTGGTATTACCTCTCTTTCTCATTATTTGTTGAAAAGTTGTCTGAAATAAACAATAATTTTTGCTCACTTGTCAAACCATTGTAATCTAGGTTCACAATTTCATATTTTCTTTCTGGTATTATTCCCAACAGAAGTTCAAGTCAAAGAGCAGTAGGTATCAAATAATTTTATCATAAATGGAGAGGTAATGAAATCAAATAGTTTTACTGCAAAATGTTTTACAGTTTTTACGCAATGCGGAGCTGACCTTTTGCATGTTTTTTTTTCTCTTTTTTTTCTTTTTTTCCCCCAAAATAATCATTTTTTGGCGTCCCACGGACAGTTTTTCGATGGAGTACAATGATTGCGTATGGGCAATAGCTTTAGCTTAACAATTTTTACATTAAATTACTATCAGGAAAAGCTGTAAAATCTACATTAAAATTGTCTTAGCGTTAGTTACGGAAAAATACAATTAAACATTTTATCGTTGAATCATATGTATTTTTCATGCTTTTTCTGTTATCAGGAAAAGCTGTAAAATCTACATTAAAATTGTCTTAGCGTTAATTACGGAAAAATACAATTAAGCATATTATCGTTGAATCATATGTGATTTTCATGCTTAATCTGTTATTAATAAAAAATCATAGCTATAAGAGCGCTCATTTTGGCTGCGATAGGTACCCTAAAATCTTTCCGTGGATTTTGTATGACTTCTCTGCGAGTAAAAAATCTGCATCGGATTCCATGTACCAAACCGAAACGAATTTCGTTGGCACGGTTGAGTACTCAGTCTAAATCAGATCAAGTAAACGAGGAATTGAGAAACGCCACTGATACAGGGCCCTGCGTAATGACCGAGGTGTCAACGTTAACATTTATTCGTCAGTCACAAACCGAAATTAGGTGACACACGAAAACAACTGAATTATCCCATAAGTTAGCCAAACATGAGTAGGATTTGCGTTTTTACTGTGTTTATGCCAAATATTTTCAGAAAATAATAAATGCAGGGCGTGGTGTCTAATTCCTGCATTGAAAATGTTTGTGTAGGAGATATGACAGGCTTTTTATAACATTATTTTAGGTCTCCATACGTTCAGAAAAGGAAACTCTCACTATTGTGCCTTAGCTAAACTCAGTACTATAGCAATGATTTCAAAGGATTCCAATCTACAAGATACGTGTTCTTTCAAGGAGAGTCAAGATACATGTTTTTTTATAACATTATTTTTAGGTCTCCATACGTTCAGAAAAGGAAACTCTCTCCATTGTACCTTAGCTAAACTCAGTACTATAGCAATGAATTCAAAGGATTCCAATCTACAAGATACACATTTTTTTTAAAAACGACATATCTAAATCAGCTTTCGGCAAACGGAACCGAGATCTTTGGGCGCATCTTCCAAGCGTTTCAGGATGGCAATACCATTTTTTTTTTCTTTTTTTTAACCACGTAATGAAAAACACAATAATTGTATCAAATTCCGTATTTAAGTTATTACTGTTTTTCAGGTTCTGCTGTTTTTTGAGTCGTCTCTTTGGGCGAAAGGAGATGATGCCTCGGAGGAACCTTCGTAAGTGCTAATTTACATTCATTTCATGTGTATTCAAAGTTCAGGTTGAAAATAAAAAATCTGTTGAAAAATTCGGAATTTGATGGTACAGGGCAAAAGGGCTCTTTAGATTTTAAGAAAATTAAACTGAGATGAGTTTATCAAAGCTTGAAGGGACTACAAAATTGCAATAGAACCAGAACTACTAGAATGGACTATACCAGAATTAACCTGGCTGCATCAGTGGCGTGGCGTGAATTGCGATGTATCGATTGTTATGCCATTTAAACCTATGGTAAAGAATCGATTATTAAGGTGTTCGTTGCGGACACCCTGTTCATCGATCCTATTCCATAGATTTAAATGACAGATCAATCGATATATCGCAAAGCACGCCACGCCACTGGGCTGCATCCCGTGTTGCCTAATTTATTCTTGTAGTTAAATTTTTTAACAAGCTATATTCAACAATAAGTAGTCCAGAGTCATCTTGCGATTTATATATAGACTTAGAGTATGAAACAGGTTTCAAATTAATGTCAGGCCAGAATGTTTCTTAGCTTATTGACAGAAGAGGAAAAAACAGAAGAGATCTGAAAACGTCCGACTCAAATTGAGTCCGCAAATAGATCTCTTGAGATTATTTTAAAGATGGAGAACGATAAATCGCTATTTGATATTGATTCGAAACAACGGCAAATTATGCTGGAGCTGTTGTTTGCTTTGAAAATTATTCATTTTTCAACTTGTGTAATATCATTTAAAATGAAAATCATCACTTGAAAATTGGAATTTGGATTCAGTCTTATTATGAGTATCATATAGAAATTATTTATCATCAAAAACTGAGAATCAATGTGTTTGACTCATTAATAACTTTCGCGCTGTAGGTGCAAGACAATTTGATCATCTACCCAAAAGGCTTTTGCCTGACTTCATTTACAGGTAACTTGAGGCAGCATTAATGCAAGTGCGTATTATTTGGATTTAATTTTGTGATTAAGAACTACTATTTTTGGCTCATTTCACTGACAAAATGATTGTCATGAGTTTTCGCATACAGATTGGGTTGGTGCTTACATGGATGAGTTAGAGGTAGTAGCTTCTTATTGCAAAATTTTGTTCAATGAATAAAGTTTAAATCCTCCCCGCCGATTACCCGCAAATCTAAACTAGATGGAAATCTACACGGAATAAAATTGATTGCTGACTTAACAATTTAGTTGTTAAAAAGTGATTGCAATGTTTCCATTGTACATTTTACAATAGCGGAGAGCTAATTTAACTACGGGGTGGTTAAAGTAGCATTTTTTTGTCGCAAAATCTACATTGAAACATTGCAGTCTTTTTTTTTTTTAACCAAAAAATGGTCAAATCAGCAATTTAATTTTTTCCTTGAATGTGAGAAGAGTAATAAAGACTTGACGTTTGGCAGAGGAGGACCCAAACTTTGGCAAGATCGCTGGCAGCTGGTGTTGTATGAGTTGGACTGCATTTTGCAAATTGGAACTATAAATTCTGGCTTTTTTGGAAAAACGCTTATGTGCATAGGGAAACTAATGGCACAAACGTTGTTTTTAAACCGGGCTAGAATTTATAGCTCCAAATTGCAAAATGTAGTCCAGTTAATGGTGAATTCAGCAGTTTGGCATCATGAGGACTTTCACTGTAGAGCTCTTTATTTGATCAATCGTTTGAGATTTTAAGCTACTCTAAGCTCAAAGCATGCATGCTGCAAAGAGACAACAAAACGGAATTGTTCTTTGAATTATTTTTCTTTCTTTGGGAAGTCTTAAAATATAGAATGTGATGTATTATTTTATTATTTTTTCACAGACACGACCGAATCATTTTGCACATCCCGATTCCGATCACAACATTGAAACACACCCACGCTGTATTCAAAATAACAGAGAATGGAGGCAAGAAAACGCACGGTCTCGAACTTTATCAGCCGAAACAGCAGCATCTCTACACTCACCATCACAAAGGTAGCGGGAATCGAGATCACAAGCGCGGCTCACGGAAAGGCTCCAAGCAGGATTCAACCACCTCCAAAAATAGCGCAAAACACGCGAAAAAAGAAAATCACTCTCAAGACAAAGCTGCCGAGGAATTTTTCCATTATTTGAACACTCGCTTCGACGAGGCACCCGAAAAACAACTTCCGAGAGATCGGAATGAAGAACTCTTCAACCGCTATTTCCGAACGAACGCCAAGTCCAATCAGGATACGAAGGTATCCAGCAAAACCAATCACAAAACCCCGAGAAAACCCACAAAACACGATCATCATTCAAGCAGTCGTCCTGGACGCAGCCGTCATTCGAATCACTACCGTAGTAAACCAGAACAGGGCCGCAGCAAAAAGGCACACAAATCACACAGCTCCACTTCAAATCGCAACAAAAACAGCTATCGAGGAAGGATTCATAAATATCCTGAAAAATACAGTGATGATCACAACATTTTTGATCATGATCATGGTCCTGATGACAGCCACGAATCCGACGAAAAGGTTCGTCTGGCAGAAAATGATAACCATGACTTTGATTTTCAATCCGAGGATGACAGTTTCAATTTGGAACCGGTTGATGGTGAAAAACCGCGAGTTACCATAAAAACGATTTTACCGAAACTTCAACCGAATTGGGCAGATGAGGGTTTGATATCACCTTTCGCGTTGAATGATGTTTTGTTCAAGGACAAAAAGTACAACAAGAAAGTATTCAAGGAACTTGGATGGTACCCATTGTTCCTGCCGTATGAGGTGCAAGAGGATCAGGAGAAGAAAAAATAACACACGAGTTTGTCTAATCCGCAATGGCACTAAGATTCATTTTTCAAAATTTAATGAGTTACGGTCGTTGTGCCCTATTTTTTTCTCGTTCTGAAAGCTTTCGCTCTTGTATCTCATCATATTATGTTTTGAGTGTTCCATTAATCGCAAGAATCTTTTCAACTTTATTCATACAAAAAGCTTGGTAATAACTTTTGGGTAACCATACTGAAACGTATTGTGCCAGCTAAACATCTTTTTGTTCTATTGTGTATTAAAATATATCCCAAACCTTTGTTTCAATAAAGAAAAGGTATAGTTGTTGGTTTTATTGCAGGTTTTTATGCAAAACTGAAACGTCGCGAAAAATTTCACTTGGTCAAAATGCTTTTCTTTCCTCAGATGTCACACAAATTTATACGACAGCCAAAAGTTCACAATATTTCCAATGCCTGTCTTAAAGGCCGTCCAAAAGACGAGAAAGAATCAATAATGCGTGCATAGCATAGAATAATAGGCCGTCTCCCCTTCCTTATATATTTCCAGCAATATTAAATTCCACTAAGAAAACTGGATTGATTACAATAAAGGAAATCGTATTTTTTGCAGAAATTCATCGTTGTGCTAAAATAAGTATTCATTGTGTCGAGAAACGCATTATTATCCTAAATAACATTTTAGCTGTGACAATGAAAGTTTCTACGTCGCGATAAAATATTTCTGATTAATTGATGCAAACAAAAATATTTATTGAGACAAGTGAGCTTTCTGTGTTGAAATTGAAACTTTACTTTGCGTAGTAAGTATTGTCTCCTCGAAATAGTGAGTATTGTCCGCAGAGAAGGAAAGACTCTGGAGGAACAGTTTCTTGTGTTGCAAATAATCAACTTTATTCCTCTAGATACAAATACTAGATATCTACTTGAAAACGAAGACTCATATTTTTTGAAGATTTACATTTATAGATGATGCTTACGAACAGTTCTTGCGCCTTCACATCTCAGAAATGTAGATAAACTTTTTCTCATACCAGAGAAAATGTTATGAACTTTAAATAATAATTTGCAACGGCTACCTGAAACTGAGGCAACGAAAAGAAAACATAGGTTGTAGACTTTTTGAAACGTTGCAAACGAACAAAATGACTTTCCTAGTGGTGAGACTTTTATGTAAACTGTTCTATTGATTCTTGCAATTATAAAAACCACAATTTGTGTCAAAAATCTGGAAAAGGTTTCTAAAGTATTTTTCATAATGTCCTCCCCAAATTAGTGGGCGTCAAAAAATTTCATATGCAAAATTCAATTTCATATGCGGAATTTCGATCCATGAAAAAAAAAGGGAGGCTAACTTTTGCCATTTTGATTGATATAATAAATCACTGTTTTTACAACCATTTCAATAAAATTATTAGACATTTTCTAGTGATATTGAAAACAGGTATGTAATATTTTTCATTATTCTGCACTCGACACATTTAAGACTCCTCACCGATATGTGTCAGCTACAAACCCCGCTTGAAACATTCCTTACACCTACCCAAAACGTTTATTCTTGTGTTGCCAGTTTTACACTGGATTGCGGTTCCCGGAATGCATCGCAACGGATCATTCCGAACGTTAATAGAATGAAAGTAGGGAGAGCGCAGAGCGCCTTCAAGCTTACGTGATACTGCACACATTGCGCCGAAACTGCATTTAATCCTCTTTTATGTCACTTCTACTCGCGACTAATCAAAGGAATGAAGGCTTTGTAAACTCGTTTGAAAGAGAACCTCAAGTGACAATATTATGAATCGATATCCACCATACGCTGCCGTGGTATGAAGAGAACGGTAAGTAAAAAAAATTTGTTTCCAGAAAACTGAAAAAATTGAAAAAGTGATTTGAAAAAATCCTCCATTTTCCTTGCAATTTTCAAAAATTATCCAAAAAACACCCACTAACTGTCCGAGTGATTAAAATTCAACGAAATTCACATTTTATGGCCCAAATAGGCCTTTCAATTTCATTTTAGGCAAAATAGTCGTGTGTGCATCCTCCAGCATCTTTGATTGGTCAAGTTTTCAGCAAATAACAAGCAAATTTTAAGGTTAGACTTACCAATATGCCCGAAGCAACAGTAAGTACAGCAATCTCTCGCGTGAGCTGAAGTTGACTCACTGCTGCTGATTTTGACGTACTGAAATCAACTTTTCGTGCACTTGCTGCTTTTTGACAACTATGAAATTCTGCGATTAACGTGGATTTTTCTATATTAGTGGCATTCCATTCACGTTAGATTTATAAATTTTGAAAATGTGGTCGTTACAGCTTTTTTCAGTAACAAGGCAGTATCATTGCACATTGTACCTTCTGTTCATTCTCTGCAGCCACGTTTCACAATACAGAGCGCTACTAAATATGGAGCCATACTGTAACATCAAACCAGGTTTTTAAAACATACACTGTGGTGTGTCCTCTTGTGTGTTAAACTTAACATTTAACATAAAAACTCATCATATAATTGGCTCCTAGAATTTTTTGAAGCGTTAAAACATGACAGAATTCATATTTCACATGTTTGCTCGTGCGCACTGCGCATATTTGTTCTTCATTTGAGTTTTATCTCACAGCTTACGATAGCTTCAAATTTTTAAATGGATAAATTTAATCAAAAAGAGCATATACCCGCATTTTACATCGCCTAATATTCTCACGTTTCTTATTTTGTCAACAGAATTGAAACAATAAAATGTTTAAATCTCTGTTAATGTTTTCCAATTATCAGGAGTAAACTCACAAAATTTCAATTTAGGATGTTTCTTGATTTTGTTTTAAAATATTAAAACATTGGAGGAAATCAGGAAACGTCTGGTGTAGTTAGGCTGGTTTTTGTTACAGTTCAACCCGTGAGGCTACTTTTCACCCTCGAATGAAAGAAAAAAGAACAAGAGAAAGAAAACTGACCTTTTAAACTTGTCTTACGAGTCTGTGCTTTTATTAACGTGAATGTATCGTTGATTAGGAAACTTTGACGCAACATTTCCCTCATGATCATTTATTAATGCTGCTTGCACATAGTACTAAATATTAATTATAAGAGTGTTAAAAGTTTAAAGAAAAAATACATGAAAGAAGGGCATGAAGGTTGCCGACTGATTTTATTCATTTCGAGAAGTAAGAACAATTGAATTAGTGAGAAGGAAAACACACCAACTCGAAAAAATGAAAATATTCAAGCCACACGCAAAATTACATAGTGGTTGAAGAAGTTGGCACAAGAAAAAGATTTTTGGTGCCAAAAGGCAAGTACTTAAGGACACTTTAAAGGTCCAAGTTGGAACAGATGTGTCAATTTCAATGACCTTTATGAAAACTGACTCTAATGAAAATTGAGCATTTTTTGAGTTACAGAGTTGGTGTGTTTTCGTTCTCACTGATTCAATTCCACTTAACTGACGATTTTGGCGACATTGAGTCAGCGGCTTTTCACCTTATTAATTTTACTATCGCAGACTTAGCAGGGAGTGGTTTCTGTTCAGCAAGTCTGAAACCATGTTTCATTATGATGCATTGGTAAGCGAATAAGTTAACAACAAGCGTTCGCCAATGACAGTCACACTGCGCGGCGTTCCATGATGGAAGATTTCTGTTTGAGATGAGGACAAGAACTCCTGCATTCAGCTGTATAGGCAACTTTTAGCGCAGCCTCAGGTCACTCGGCAAAGTTCCGAGGCGTGTGTTTCCACTTTCTGCGGCTGCAACAAGTATTTATAAATTGGAGCACAACAGACGTAAGGGACTCACAGGCTTTCATTTAAATTGTTCAAAAAACATATCCAAATTATTTTAGAAATTGCAGCAAAATGTTTAGAGGAATGCTGATTTTGATATGTTAAAATTGCTGAAAACGCAACTGCAAAATTCGCTTATTCTGTGCATAGGAAAAATTGAGTATATAGAGAATCATCAATTGCTCACGCTAGCACACATGAATGTTAAGATTAGGTTGTATAAAGATTCATTTCCTCAATCCCTGCCAAACTTGATCAAGAACCTGCAAAATTTATATTCTTTTACGCAGAAACGTCTTTTTGTCATGATTGAATTAAAAAATTCGTGGCTCAGTAAATTCCTTTATTTCATTCTTCAGTCCAGTAAAATAGAGGAGCACCGCTGCAATTGTATGGTCACAGAGTCATTAAATATGCTCCACCCCCTACATTATTTTTAATACATCGAATCAGTTATGATATTATTTCGTGAACATGAACTTTTTTCAAAAACCTTTAAATACGAATTTAAATTTGATGGGACTGTCTTATGTCCGGTCGAATTTTGAGAAATGGCATATAGCTTTTATTCTAGCCGCAATTAGCGTCCTACACAAAGGTGTATTTTTTTAGCTTCTTGCAACGGGTGCACCTGATAACATCATGATGAAAAAATAAATTTTCTGTAGAAACTGTATTGTTACCGATGATTATTTTGAAATCCAAAAATGTTTTAAGTAAATCGGTGACGTGTTGATTGACTGATAGTCAGTGCATTAAGAGTACTGTGTAATTCATTGAAATCTTTTTCTTCTCCGAACAGAAAATAACATTTTTTTCGGTCACAGATGATCACTTTATTGTACTGTCAATGTTTAAAAACAAAAATTGATCAAAATAATAAATTGAATTGTTTCGTTTGAAGTAATTACTTATCTCCTGTCGGTCCAGATTTTATTTTAAAGTAAAAGATTTCATCCCTCTCGTCTAATGGCACAAACAGTAAGTACTTCAAGTGTTATCAAAACCTTTGACAAAAGAGGTATCCCTCTCCCTCCCTCACTTTGTACCATGCACTCGCAAATATTCTTTGAATTCGTAGATGTAATCTTCTCACTCTGCTGTGGTATGGAAGAACGCCGTATGAGCTTTCAAGCATTGCCAAATCTCCTAATTAAATTATTCATTTTGTAAGAAAGTTATGAGTATCGCCCCTCTAAATTTTTAAATACTTCTGATTGATTTGTTAGTAAAATTCCTGAAAAAGGAAAAAGGAAAAAAATCATGTCTCCCTGAAAATTCGATGAATATCCCCAAACAATTCAGCAACGTATAAATAACCTTACGGCGTTGCTCCTTAGGATGACAGTTTGGCAGTGTACCACACTGATGCGGGTTTGCGGTAGTTTCGAGTAAACAGATGTCGAATAAACATGAATAGGAGCGCCTGCGGTTGATGCTTTGTTCGATTAAACGCTCCAATTACCTCACAATCATTTCGTTCCAGGAAATATCTAATTCATCTATTTCTCACGATTAATCAGGTGATAACATCAGGTTCTAAAGAGTC